CTATTAATTGAAACAACAGGAGAAAAACTTGTTGTCCGTGACAGCCGTGGAGCTCTTCTTCTCACCTCGTTTGATCTTTGTTAGTTTAATTTGACAAAAATTCACAGAGAACTCCTGCGTCACTTGATTTTAATTCATGGTATTAATGTTGTTTACAACTGCACCACTGGTATCGGCTTTATTAGGCAGTTTGTCACTTTGAAAGAGTTAAAAACTCACGTTTGACCGTATAGCCTAAGCTCTTGCCATTTTCAGCGCAAATATATCCTTGAGACGTTGAACTTTTCCAATTTACAGTCGATTCAACCATATCGACTCAGCTAGTGTTCACCACCAACGCTAAATTTATTGTCATCTTGGTCCGAACCCAATACTTCCTTGGTCTACCAAACCACTTCATATTTCTCATTGGTCTTCTGGTTCTCCTCTCTCCCCCAGGACTACACCATGTGAGGCCATTACGTTTCCACGTGACTATTGACAGTTCGTTGGAAGTCTTGACCGCAAACTAATCGTCGATATCAAAACGTTTCTCTATTCTCGAATTTCTCCGATATGCCCTGCCAGTAGAGTATGGATGATTATTCTCTTCAACCTCAAAATTGCCTATATCTGTGCGCGGCGATTGGCCAGGAACTGAAAAAAAAAAAAAAAAAAGTAACAAAATAGAAAACCATCATTTCCGAATAAGTGGCACTCATTTCATTATTAATAAATAATACGTACGTGTTGGAAGTAAGCGGAAAGTGGCGTAGCTAAATTTGCTCCATATGTCCTTCCTTTGGACGTTTGCGCTTTTCAAGGCGACTCTTACGTCATATCAATATTAATGTTGTTGGCGTAGGTGAGGCCCGTCAAGTTGTCATATCCTTCTTTTACAGCCACCTTATCCGTAATGTTATATGTCTTAAAAAGCGGAAAGAAAAAGTAAAAAAATCAATCAAGAGTCACGCTAAACGTCACGGTTATACCGTACAAACTCTCTTTTATTCACCATTTCTTCCCATTAAAATATAATATCTTCATTCACATAAATATTAAAAATTTTATAAAATTCACTGAAATTACACCTGTGCTGAAATAATATAACATGGGAACCACGTAGAAGGAGGATCACATGTAAATTCTTGGAGATCCGTGAAATTGGGTCGTGCATAGTAAAAGTCCTTATTTCCCCTAAAATTGTAGAAAAATTCACATACATTTACCTCGGCCCCTCCCACTTCTTTTCGGGAAAATTTTACATTTATTGCTGTGAATTTTTTGAGTTTCCCAATTGACATTATCCATTCCTTCTTACCCATTTCTTCCATTCGAAACAGGTACACTGTAATATATGAAGGTTGTAAAGTATAACCGTAGGTGCATTGTACAACATATAGTGCATCGTAACAGATGTAAACTTTTATCATCGGAGCATAAGTAAGAGAAATTTTGCAAAAGTACGAGTATATATTAATTGGTCTACATGGACCATTTGCTAAAATTGTTTGTTTCCGATGCTATATGTAGGATGAATAAAACTTTTTTTTAAGCGCAACTTTGAAACTGGAACTATTTTACTCAAAATGTCTTGTACTATTAGAAAAAAATCGTGAACACTTGTGTTTCAGCAGTGGGGACACCGATCCGTTTTTCCATAATTTACATGCAAAAATTGTATCCATACATAATGTAATGTAAACATATAGATACAATAATTGCATTAAAAATCGAAATTAGGGTCGCAGCTACTGAAACTGTGCCTGTATTTTTGTAAGCAAAAAATAGTCTGAAATATTAATATTGAAATTGTCATACTTTATTTATTATTAAGAAAAACGTGTATTTCTAAATAAAAAAAATTAATAACTTATGACTGTATCTCGAATTATTTCTCCGACACTAGATGATCATGTAAAAAATAAGCTTTGTTGAGTACAAATTTTTTTCTAAACTATTTTTCAGAAAACTACTTCCTTTGAGAAAAAAAAAAAAAAAAACCTTCAGTTTCAAACATGAGTACTTAATAATGTTATGTTTAATTATACGATTACTTTTTACACGAAGTTATATATTTCTAAAAATTTCTTCCCAAACTATGTTTTCTACTTTTGAGTTATCTTTAATTTTATCGTACATAAACACTTGATTTTAATTTTTGCATCTTGATAAATGCCATTTATAAACCCGGGAAAATATAAAGTTTTTTGTTTGTTACCATACCACAATACTTAAGAAAATGGCTTTCTATATCAAATAAAAGGTAATGACGATATATTATGTATATTCAAAGTTATCTTGGGTACAGATACTTTGCATTCTATTTTTCATGACGCTTCATAAAAATTAAAAAATTTCAGTTCGATCGTAAAAAAAAAAAAAAAATTTTTTTCTCAATATTTTACACAAAAGCATATGGTTGGTGTGCAAATGTGTGTCATATCTTTGTGCATATCTCCGTGAAAAATTCGACGCCAGACATCCATCATCGAAGAAAAGGAGGAGAAAGAAACTACGTATGTTTGTCGAGATCCACAGGAAAATACGGTTGAAAAGATTTTTTTGTAGATCACAATGTACAGAAGCCATGAAATGGGTTCCAACAGGCCTCATTTTCTTCATCTGTCCCACCTACGTTCAAAACGACCCGTGGGACACCCATAATAAGGAGAACGCAAGTATGGAACTTAAATTTTGGAAAAAAATCATATAGTACACCAAAAGTATTTTTTTTTTTTTTGCCGATTTTAACAAATAAACAAATATGTACGGAATTTCCTTTTTAAAAGTATTATTGCAATGNAAAAACTATTATACTTATTAGAATTCCATGATAAAAAAACCTTTCTTAAACACCTACATTTTAGGTTAAAGTTGGACTAGTCCGGTACAAAATAAAAATTTTTACAATTCTTTATTATGGTAATCATAAACTCCCACACTTACCAGACAGTTATTTTATAAGAAAAAAAATTTAATTTAGTTTACAAGGTTTTCCTGAAATTATCTTTTCATGATAGTTTTTAATTATAAGCTGATGTTCCCGTTTCTTTAAAAGGGAAAGGAAGTAGTGATATAATTATTGTTTTCAGTGTTAAAATTTTAACACAATGTGCATAAAAAGTGGGCTTTATGTATCATATCAGATATAGTATATTACGTACCTAGGCCAGAAAGTGGGGCTATTACTGACCGCGCTATATTATCGGCCGAGCCGAAGGCGAGGCCGGTAATGCGCGGTCAGATGTAGCCCCACTTTTTGGCCGTGGTACGTACCTATACTTTTTTTCCTTACACCTTCGCCGAAAGTTCGTCACCACGGTTTTAGTTTTGTTAAAAATGATGGTTTAAAGATCCAGTCAAAGATTTAGTGCATTATGCATTATTGTTGATCGATCGGTCGCTCGAACAATACCACTTAAATGCACGTGAGTGTTCATGTGTATAGGTATATCTATATATATACGCTCGCCGAGACTGTAGTATATAATATAGAATCAGATTGGGCCGAGGATTTGTGCAGGTTGGTCGTGCTGGCAAAACGAGAGGAAGAGAAATCCGTTTAAATTCGAATCATGGATCCTATAAAGATCATTTTAAAAATCCTAATGTTTATATCCGTAAGTGCAAAATAAATCAGGTTATTATCAATAACTATGATAATTGTGATAGGCATAATTCGATTAAATAAAAGATTTCATAATTTATTTTTGTAATATGACATGTATATACTACATTTATATACTAAATAAATCATTAAAGTGAAAGTAACGGATCAAAAAACATTAATTTGGTAGTTTTAATTTTGTGTTGTGTACTCTGTTCATATGAAATTAATAAATTTATATATACATGTAAATTGTGCAAAAAAAAAATATATATACATCCAATAATTTATGTAAATAAATATCCAACGATTTTGTGTTGTACAAACTATAAAGGTTATAACTCCGTTAGCCGTATATATATATGTATTGTATAACTACTGCTGCTTCTCGGTCCTGAATATATAACTATATATATCTGCGCACATATGGCAGGACTGATATGAGGCTTTTTCTAGCTCAAAATCGGGTCAGATGGAACGAACTTTCGGCGGAGGTGTAAGGAAAAAATGTTTTTAATAAACTAGCGTATTGTCAACCAGTTATATAAAAATACCAAAACGTACTTAAAGATTCACTTTGAGGTTATTTGTATACCTATACATAGAAATGTAGTTTCGGTTTTAAAGATTATTTCTTTATGAAGTTTAGCAATAATTTATTACTTACTAATACAAAAACATTTTACATAATGCAAATTTGTGCATACGTTTTAAACAGATGTTTTGTTATTTCCTGTGTTGATTTAGTTTCAACTATTGTAAAATAAAATAGAATACAAAACATCGTATACTTCAGCAAAAATCTTGAAAATGTATATTGCGTGGATAGCTGATTAAGATAAGATTTGTATAAATATATTGAGGTGGTGTATGTCGTTGTGTACTTTATTAAACTCCAATTATAGTACCGTAAGTGTAAAGTTAAATAGATTTTCTGTGTAGAGAAGTAATGTTTTTGAAAGCCAAAAAAACTTTTGTTCATCACTATTCACAATAAAATATTGAAAGAGCAATGCATTTTAATTATTCAAGCTTATTATAAATTATCTGTGATTAAATATTTTAATATTTGAACAATTTTTTTGTAATTTATACTTTAAAATTGGAATGCATTGCTTGGGCTGAAAAAATTTTGCTAACCACCATGTTATAAATCGTACTTGAAAAACATTTACTTCACACATTGTATCACACTGTAAGAAAATAATCATAAGAAATATGTATACAAAGTTAAAAACAGTATCAGTCTGGTTATCATAAGCACAGATATATCCTCCCATCAAATTCACATTCAAAGAACGATTTTTAAAAAATTACTTCCGTTTTTGAGGGGAACAAAGAAAAAATGGTTACTTGTAAAACAAAAAGCTACAAGAAAAACCAAAAAAACACCTGTCGTTGATCAACATTTTTACTTCAAAAACCTTTTGATTATGTTGTCCAGAAACCACTCTTCGGTGTAGTCGAAGAGCTCAACCGCCAGAAAGTGAAGTCTACCCGAATTCTGCAAATCCGCCAGACCTAACCGGTCCTTTGGAAACAATTTGCGATTTTGAACTCATTCGAAGTATTTTTTGCAAAAACATAAAATACACGTACCTCTTTATAAATGGCCGAATCCTCCAACTTTTCGGTCTGCACGGCCTGGCCCGGCGAGTAGAACCCAAACCACTCGGTCTCTACGGGCTTGATCACTGTTTCGTTAACGAACTTGACCAGCACGAGGTTCCTTAGCCTCCCAAGGTTTTTGATATAAGTCTACGATAGAAAAAAAAAACTTTAACAGAAAATATCCCCTTCATGACTAGTAGTCAAACTCCACTTTGGAAAAAAAAATTCATTTGTTTAACTCCAATGTTACTGTTTCGCATTTTTGTATAGTGTCAAAACAGCCATATCTGAGTCTTGGGGCAACGATGAACAGTACAAGTTTTTCTTGTTTACCTTATTAACGTTTCTCTCGTTGTTGATATCGGCCAAGAAAGTACTGCTCTGCTTGTAAACGTCTTCCTGCAGCGGATCGTGCCAATACTGGGCTTGAACTATGTGATTCTGGACATCCCTGTGTGGTTGATGCATTGTTTCAATCATATCGTTCAAATTATTTTTTTTATTCCGATGACAAAAAAATGATCATACTTCGTGTAAGCGGCGTAGTTCAAAACTCGGAACGAGTAATCGCACAACGAGTACTGGGCAGAGGTGCATTTCGGCACGCCGTAGATGCCCTGGTGCGGCCCACCCAGCGATATGAGGTTGAACACGTGCAGATCGGGGCATCTTTGGACCAATGCTCGCCTGTGTACGTTGACGTGTTGAAGGAAAAAAAAGAAAAAGAAAAAAAAAATTAAACTGTGCGATAGCGATTCTTTAAGTTTTGAGGGAGGTGTGCATCTTGATTGCCGATTTCTCAAAATTACTCAAATCTGTTCATCAAAATTGTACACCAATATTATGTATAACGCAATAACGATACTTGCAAGAACAGAGCCCCTTGGCCGAACCCAATGGCGTTGAAGCCGTCGCTCAACATTTCGTCCTTTTGCAGCTCCTCGCACACCTCCCGGACTTGGTCATTGGCGTCTTTGAAGTAGCTGTTCATGACATCCTTAAGTATATGTACAAAAATTCAACAAGAAATGATGCAAACGTACGTTCATACATTCTCGAGATAAAAGTATAGCGCAATCAAGTTTTATTTATCTGTAAACATAGCCAAAAGTATCAAGTCTCTGCTGGAATTATAAATAATGAAACATCGGTGTGTGATAATTTACAAGACTACACACTAAGTTGAAAAAAAAAATCCAGTTGCCCATCGGGTGACCACACCGGCAAAAGTGAGAACTTAGTAGCGAATTGTTACACTTATTTAGTTAAAAAAGCCAATTTTTGAAATAATTAAAATTTTATAACGCAAGATAACTAAATAATTAAAGTCACCCCAAAGCGATTCGATGCAGTGTTATTCTGTCATATCTACCAATCCCTCCATGCACGAAACGAACACACGCATTTAGAGTAGTGTGGAGGCGAAGATTTGAACTTGAATCAATAATATGATTATATGCCACAGACATATAATCAAAAATGGGGAAAATTAACGTCTCAACCAACTGCTTTCTTAGTGAGGCGGAGAGAGCATGTTTACAATGTTTAAGACTATGAAGAGAGCGAAGAGCCCGACTAGACACATGAGCAGCATGTTTTTCCCGATGCAGCTTCGGTGCCAGCCAGAGCGACGTTGACGCGAACCCATCTAAAAGTCACCCAACGCGCCTAATAAAGTTTTCACATAAAAATAAATAATAACAACATTGTTCCAACTGGAGCATATTTGTATGTGCTCATGTAGTCCGGGCTTCTAAATCCTTAACGTACACTTGGTGATATAATCAAGAACAGAAGAAAAATGTATATGCGTACCGCCTTGAAGCCGTCGCCGAGTCTGATACATTTGACGTACAGTTCCCACAGTTGATTCTCCAGCATCTGTTGTATCGTTTTCATGCCATACATAAAGTCACAACTGTCGCCTGCGTTGCATTAGAAATTCTCGTTACAAAAAAACTACTTTTCAAAAAATTGTACGTTACATGGTTCGAGCCTTTTTATTCGGCGTTGTGATTGATTCGAAAAAATTAATTGCTCGTAACAGCATTTGAAACAAAATTATTTTTAAACCGTGCAGAACATCCAAAGATTTTTCAATCATCGCTCACTTATTTACGATGTGTCGTTTACGTTAAAAAAAAAAAAAAAATATTCACGTCAACTTGTCGATAATATTGCTTATAGGTTGTACATACACGCGATGCAAAGAAAAAAAGTAACGAAATATACAAAGATGAGTGGCTTACCGATTTCGTGCCACAAGACAATGGGAACTGTCGGCTTGGCTAAGACATTCAAAGAAAGAAAAAAAAGAAATTAGAATCGCACGCCAGAATCCCACGTGTTATTATTTCATGTACTCACGTCGAGGGATCACGAGACCAACGGCGCAATTAAGTGCAATCAGTTGCAAAAACAAAACGAATTCCTTCTTCATCCTGATGTAAGTCAACAACAACAGCACCAGGTACGTTATATATATATATGTGTGTGTGTAGGAGCGTGGTGTGCTCGGCTACTTTAGGGAAGGAAACACACCGACTGAGTGGCCGACAACGCGACGCGCCTCATATTGGCCCTCGCAGCGCGGCCAACCGTGTAAGTGTATACAGAAGAGCTTTTCCTCCGAGAAGCAGCGGGAGGAGGGGCACGAGGAAAGATGAAAGGTGCGGCGACGACCCAACTGCCCCGCACACCCGAGAGGAAAACAAGGGACGGATATTTTGCCACGTGCGCGAAATATCATTGCTGCGACGGACGAAAGGGATTCAGTGCCCGTAACACGCGTAAGGGCCATTTAGAAAAATTGCGCGCATTGTGCACTTGAACGGAAGAATTTTTATTTGTCTCTGCGGAAACGATGGACTCCCTGACCTAACAATATATGGATACATACATGTCCCAACTGCGGATATAAGTCAGTGACTTGAGGGAATTGTCAACCTTTCGGAACTAATGTTGCAACTTGTGTTGACAATTAAATTCTGCACGTGTTTTGGTCCAAAAGTGGTGCCCTTTAGGCCTTGACAACAAGTTGGCACCAGTGGTTTTATGGGGATATGTAACGGTGGATTTTTAATCAGCCTTGCAGTTATCATTAAAAACTCCCACAACTCACCGAGGGTTCGAACTTTTGAATTGGACGTGGATGCAAGTTTGCGTTCTTTTCTTCAACCTTCGACAAAACCATTGCAAAACGTTATGTTATACATGTAAGGCACGACAAATTCACGGATTACCAGAAAAAAAAGTATAGTTTTAATTTTATGATTTTATTTGGGAATCATTATTATAGTTTAGTATAATATCCAAGTTGATTCTTTTTTTTTTTTTTTTTTTTTTTTTTTTTCACTAATTGTCGAACAATCTATCAGCCACTTCAAAACAATTGTCGTTGTATGTTATTATAGGACGACACCGCAGATGGAAATGCCAAACATAAATAAGCCTAAATTACTATACTTAAGATCTATAAATTTCGTAGTATGGCATTATAAATTCTACGTAATACCCAATTTCGGGGTTTTTACGTATCCCGTTTTTCCCCAATTCCCCCGTGCAAAGTTCTCCTCGTCGGGCGACTCGGTCATCCATCCCATTACAGTGGACACGTAATGTGTATATCATCAAACCGCTGCAATTTTTGATTAATGGCACTAAATGGCACACGACTTTTTTTGACCACTTAGCTATACTATCGTTCGAAGTAGCATTGTCGTCTATTGATCTTGCAAAAAAAAGGCTTTTCTACACAAAACAATGCAGAGGCAGGTATCTAATTTTATAGCCACCAGTAAAAGGGATAAAATGTTGGTAATATTCCCAGGAGAATGATATAGATCCCTTAGAGAGAGGATCTCTCGTCTCTGACTTCCTTTACGTTTACTGCGCGTTGGAACGAAAAATCAATCTCCAAGAGATTTGGATTCGCGAAATTCAAAGGGTCTTTTCGATCTCAACGATTGTGATTCAAACAGTGGCTGCATCACCGCGTCGTTATTTGTCTAATTTTTTTTTACGGCTTTTTTCGACCGAACGCTCCGTTTTTTTCCGCATTAATTATGATATTATAAATGGTAAAAGTTGACCGAAAAACCAGTGTACCTGTAGTTAAAAATGCTTTTAACAAGTGCTTAATCAAATTTTGTTTTGGATTTCATTCGGAGAACAAAATTTAAATCGAGAGAGCGTTTCCACCGTCGTAGCTCACACAGCAATCACAACATTCGCAGGGAACAATATAAAGTGGAGGGAACACTCATAATTGACTTCTGACACAACACCTTGAAGGAAATTGCGGATTTTCAATTTTTTTTTGCCCCGTTGGATTTTAAAATAATAAATATTGGCATACAATAATTTGTATGCATTTTAGAATCTCCTAAAAATTTTGTACAACGCTATAATGTTGTGGTGATCCCAAAAATCTGATGAATCCAATGCACCTGCGAAATATACTCTTGCAAATGACGGAGGATGACATGTAAATTCTTGGAGATCCGTGAAATTCGGTCGTGCATACAATAAAGGTCCCCATTTCCCCTAAAGTTGTGGAAAAATACGCACACTTTCTCTTTTACCTCGCCCCTTCTCTCTCCTTTCCGGGAAAGTTCTAAGTGCATTCATTGCTGTAGTCCAGTTGACATTATCCATTCCTTCTTACCCTTTTCTTCCATTCGAAACAGGTGTACATTGTTAGCAACTATGGGTACATTATATAACACACATATATATATATATATGCTGCGTAACGGATCTAAACTTTTATTACTGGGAGAGATTTTGCAAAAGTATTCGAGTATAAATTCATTGGCGTACGCGGACCGTTTGGTAAAAATTTTCGATGCTATATGTGTATACTTACTCATTTGTATTAGGTATTCGGTGGAAAAAAAGGACTACGATCGCGGTATGTTAAAAAAAAAAACTGTGAAACCTTGAAAGGCACTTGTTATGTGTAATAAAATTTATACTCCCTAAGTAGAGTAGAAAAGTTGGTCTCGTGTAATTCAGCGTCTCAAGGAAATACAAAAAAGGAAAGGAAGGATAATAAGTCTAAGAATGTCTATTGGATGAATAAAGCCAATCAAAATAGGAGGAATATTTGCGGGAATAAGCAGAATAATGTATTAATATTTGAGATCATCAGATCGACAGCCCAACTATTAATTAATAATAATGCAGGTTATTGCAATTAGACATTACTTTTATTGACATTGTCCCTCATTCTTACGATACATAACAAAAAATCTCGTTCAGTATTTCAAAAAGAAAAAAAAAAAAAAACAATAAAGTCTCTACATAATTAAGGAAAAACGAAATTACTTTCTTTATACAAAATTAGAAGATTAATGTCATATTTTATGACTTATGAAAACAAAATCAGCTCATTTTACAACTCTTTTTGCTCTGCATATTTGTAACATAACGCTATTAGTGTAATAAAGCTGATCGGTAATTATAAATAAATTTTCTATTTTAAGCGAATGAAAAATATTCACTTTGATGATGACAAATTATAGTATTTCAGCATATTACGCGCTTGTTAAACATTTTTTTTTTTTTTTTTTACTCAAAGTAACATTAATTAAGTAGGCTTGTCTCGCTCTAGCGTAGAAACAGTTTTAACAGTTCTTAGTCCAGATACACGTCGCAACGTAAATTTCAAGCTGCAAAACGAAATTTAACGAAAAATTTAATTTTTCTTGCACAATTATTGTTTCGAAATATATTTGCAATCTTTTTCTCTCAAGTTTTAAGTTAAATCTATTATTCATCTAATAATATTGATATTATGTTTAGAAAAAAAATATAGATATATAAATATAAACTCCTCATGCTAAATAAAAAAACATTGTTCGTATCTATCGACATAGATAATCTTAAAACTAGTATTTTACTAGTGTAAAGCATCACAATAATCTCGACATCAGTGAATCGTTGATTTTTAGAAACTCATCTGATATCCATTTCATATAAAAATGATACACTTAAAAATTAAAGTTGAGTTACTTGATACTTAAGCAAGTTCAAAACTTTGAATCCAATTAATGTAAAAAGCAATTAGGGAAGGAAACACACCGACTGAGTGGCCGACAACGCGACGCGCCTCATATTGGCCCTCGCAGCGCGGCCAACCGTGTAAGTGTATACAGAAGNTAAAGCATCACAATAATCTCGACATCAGTGAATCGTTGATTTTTAGAAACTCATCTGATATCCATTTCATATAAAAATGATACACTTAAAAATTAAAGTTGAGTTACTTGATACTTAAGCAAGTTCAAAACTTTGAATCCAATTAATGTAAAAAGCAATTCGTCATCAATTGCACCCAAAGTTTTACATTAGCTATTGAATCAAATAAATCAACTATTTATTTTTGATTTATAAAAATTTGCTAATATGAAAATATCGAGTTTCAAAAAGTTGATTATATTTATCTCTGGCTAATAAAAAAATCTATTTTTTTATGTGGTTTAATCTTACAGCTTACGTCCACTTAACTTTACTATTTTTTTTTTTTACGAATTAAAACATTTCCTCAACAATAGAAATATCTACGTTTTTATATCAAAATATACACAAATGAGGCACTATGATAATAAATATACATGTACATTGAGATGATTTACAATTGACAACTTAGCAGATTTCTTATTACAAGAAAAAAATTTAACTAACAAAAACCGATCCTCGGTTGTTGTACATTTTTTTTATATGCACCCTCTCCCACTTTTTCTACACACCCACGCACTCACTCACATCCACAAATACTCTTACTCACATTTCCACGAAAAAATCGCTAAAATACTTCAAGCCGTTCACTTTCAGTTTGCAGCTGCAAAAAAAACTAAATAAAAAAAAAAAAAAAAACATTATCAGTGAAAGAAAGATTCGAGGCTCATAAGAGAGTCAAAATCCTTATTTCTCGACTATACACTTGAGAAGGCCACGCACTATTCTTCATTAAGTTCAGTTCATTGTACATGCGGCACAACCGCCACTTTGCTGTACGACTGTTCGTCGGTCGTCGACTGATGTTCCTGTTGCTTCTGAATCGACGTTGGCGGCAGTTTAACAAAACGCGCGCCAGGCAAAATTTGTTGTTCAGGCATCTTTACGTAACCCGTCGACGATTTTTGAAACTGCGGTTGCGTCTGCTGCTGCAGTTCTGCCGGACTGTGCGATGGCGAGATTTCGGGACTCGAGTCCCAATCATATTCAAGCGACGGCGTCGGGGAATTTGACAGCAAGCCATCTAACGACAGACCGTCTTTGACTTCAATATCCGTTGATGGATAACAGAATCTGTTGGGAAAAATGATAACATTTTCATTCATACGCATAAACCATTGACATAAAAATTTTTTTACAAAGACGAAAGTGTGTTGTCAACATACCCGTTTGTCTGTTGGCTCTCGTCAGCATCGCAATTAGTGATGGACGGAGTATTGGAGTCTGGTAGAATCTGGAAAGCAGTACTGTCTACGGACGGCTTCGTTTCGTTCTCTTTTTCACTTCCGCGCTCCGTCGACATCATTATCGTTGTTCGCGGAAGCGTCGGTAGCTGGCTTATAGCAACGTATGGTTTGTGCGTAGTCGTTGTTGACGTGGACGGCATCGGAACATCCGGATTTCTCGTCAACATCTCGGGAATCTCGGATAAAGCTACGTAGGGCTTTGACTCCATCAACACGGGCGCTATGAGTTTGTTCGTCAGATCCTCCGCAAGTGAAGTTTGAGCAAAGAAGCTGGGTTGCTGCTGCTGTTGTGCGGAGATCGTGAGCGAAGACCGCTGGTGTGTGGAATCGTAAGGCAACGTGGACTTTGGGAAATCGCGGAAGCCGTGCTGGACGTAAGGCTTATCGAACGGCTTTGGAGTGTTGAAGCCAAGTTCGTTAAGGACCCTCATCGAGTCCAAGGTTTTTGGGGCACCGCTATCCTTCGTCTTTTGTTCCAATGAGGCAAGACTCACGTAAGGATTTGACGTGGGTTTAACGCTGGACTCGTTTGTTTTCGTCTTTACTGGTGACGCCGACTCTTTTTCAGACATACCACGAAGAGGAGATTTGGACATAGTTCCGACGACACTGTAACTGCCTGGATTCGGGTTTTCTTTTGTACTAGGGTCGGTCGGCAACTGTTCAGTCGACAACATGTTCAAGTAACCTGAAATCCAAGTGTAAAAATGAACGATCCAAATACCTTCTTGAAACCAAGTAATATAGTGCCTAAAAAACCAAGGTATGTACCTGTAGAGGTCCACATCTGCTGCGAGTTACCGAAGCTCATGTTTTCGTTAAGATTCGGCGTGGACCTCGCTAAGGATAGTGAATCGGCTGGCTCGTTTGTTCCGATCGGTTCAGTCGAGCTATTGGCTATTTTCACGTATGGATCAGCCCACCTAGTGGCATCCAGACTCGTAGGTTTCGTGGCACCTATGACGTTACGTTGACGCAGACTCGACGATTCCCAGACGGCGGGCGAGGAGCCCGTCGTCGTTGTTGTTGTCGTCGATGAATCGACGGCCGCGTCGATCATGAGTTCTTTGGGAGCGATCGGATCCACCTCTGTGCCACTGTCGTTTGAAATTTGGGAATCCGATGTAAGGCAGGAGTTGGCCGATTCCTGGCCGCTCGAACAACCGCTCGAGTCCGCCGAGGACTGGCGCGTGTGCTGCTCTTTCTTTTTCAAGAGCGCCTGCGAACAATTGTCAACGCAATTTTAAATGTCATTGTTCACAAAATTACTTGAAGTATGAGATATCTCACGATTCAAGAGGAAATAGTTACCGTATTGGAGGTTAATCCTGGGGGAATTTCAATTTCTATATCCCGCATCTCTTTACATTTAAGCCATATTCTGCAATGAAAAAGAAAAAAAATTAGAATAACAAATAAACGTTCCAATAAAACATTTCTAATGATTCCAGAGTTACAATGACATACCGCTTCGAAGAATACGCCAAACAAAAGATGAATCCAATGCCACTGATGCTCCCGATGATCCAGATGAGTATCCATATCGCATAAGACGGTCCTGAAAATAATAAAAAGAAACAACTTGAGAACAGTCGACCTTTTTATCAACGACGGCATTTCACGCGCATAAAGTGATACTTGCCAGCACTGAAGCAGTTTCCTTCACCAGCCTCCGACCAGTTTCCAAACAGATGCTCGTTGTTTGGTGCAATATTGACGGCTCGGACGAAGAACTTGTACATTTTCTCCCTGCCCACCGTATTGCAGTCGGGAATGGATATAATGGCCTCTGTATTCGTGATATTCATAACGATATCGTTGTCCTTGACCTGGTAATAATCCAGCGGTCCAGATGGAAACAGTGGCTCATTCCAGAACACCCTGACCTCGCTGCTGTTGAGGAATCTGACGGTAGGCGGCAGCGGTGCATTTGGCACACCGATATCCGTCATTGCGTACACAGGCTGGGACTTGTCGCTGCACTGTACTGTGCACGCAGCGACCCTGATGCTGTAATTGTGATGCGCCCGGAGCCCCGTGAGATCAACGCGTGGCACTTTGTCGACTTTCATTTCCAAGTGGTCGTAGTACACGATGTAATAGCGAAGCACGCCATTCATGGCCAGTGGCCCGCGCCATTCGATGTGCATCGTCGTGTTTGTTACGTTGCTTATCACGACGTCGTGCGGTGGATCGGATGGTTTTAGCTCGAGAGTTGTGCCAAGAAGCGGTTCGCTGTGCTGGCCCTCACCGTTCTACAAAAGTCGAAAGAATCAAGTGTTTTATTCAAATACCCAAATCTTTTCATTGAATTTTTTCCAACGCTACACCAAAATAACATGAGTTTGTTCCGAAAGAAGCTTTTACAGAGCAGGATCGATATAGAAGGGGTTGCTTAATCTAATAATAAAAGTTTGAAACACGCTTCTTAGCGTTTCGTCGAATTCCCTAGGTCAATTTTACTTCGAGTGTCAAGTTACAAAGTTCAGACGAGTAATTCAAGGTATACTATACCCTACAAACTACAAAAAAAAAAAAAAAAATATTTACGCAAGACTAAAAAAGCGCGCTCTATCATGGGTATTATAAAACAAAGTCACAAATTAAAGAGAAAAGAAAAAGCACGGAAAATAATCTATAGAGCTTTACATACCTTGTTGAGCACAGCAACGGCGATCATGTAGGTCGTATAGGGCTTCAAGCCTGTCACTTTACCCCTAATGCCACTATAATCGGTTTTGATGGTCGTATTAAGCTTGGGACCCTTGCAATTGACGTCGTAGGGTGAAACAATGGGACAATAGTAGATTTTGAAGCCCTCGATGATGCCAATGCGGTCGGAGCAGTCGAGTTTCCAACCAACTTCGATGGTAGTGGAATCAACACGGTTTATCCAGACGCTGTTCATCTTGCTCACTGCCTTGTTGTGAATCACAGTGCACGAGGCCCATACCATGCCACTGCTCGCGTGTTCGGTGTTTGCGGAAATGGCAAACTGATAGACTTTGTGCGGATCCGGCACCGTTACGTTGTGGATGAAGGTTGTTTTAGGTACGTGCACCCACTCCAGGTAGCCCTATGAAAAATAAAAAATTCACAACGTTATGACAGACAACTCATTTCTATTCATTCACGTAGCAATTTCTCGTGGAATAAGTTCAAGGGAAATAGGTCGGTTCCCCGAACTCGATCAAAACCGTAAGAGTCTATCGATTGCGTCTAATTGTTTATCTTGAAACGACTACCATACCTCGCATTGATAAGGCCGATCTCGCTCGTTCTCGCACCAGAATATCGTGTAATTTTTTATATTAGCGCTGCCAATGGCCGGTGCTTTCCACGACAACTCGTACAGCCCATCTTCGAAAGCAATTTTCGTGAAAGCCTCCGGCTCTTTTGGCTCTGCAATTGAAAAACCAACGTTAATTTAAAAGGTGTTTTTGCTTCCTCACTTGTTATCTCACGCTATCGAAAGATAACGAATGAATCGTAAAACCAACACTTTTCTTTAACTAGCTCGTAAAAATTACTTGCAAAAGTAACCATTAAATAGAACTTACTCGAACTCTTGCTGGGAACGAAGATCTTGGCTGACTCCTTGCGAATGCCGAACTCGTTGGAAGTCATGATCGAAAAGGTGTAGTCGATGTCGTGCGCGAGACCTTCAAATTTGGCGTAAATGTGCGTTGTCGCGGCATAATCCTCGGCACGTACATATTTGTGAATTTTGTTTTCCATGATGATAGCAAACCGATAGCGGAAAGTTCTTCCGTTCTCGAGCTGCTCCGGTATGGCCTGCCAGTATAGGTAGATGTCACGGTTCAGGTTATTCTCTTCGACCTCGAAGCTACCTATATCTGTGCGCGGCGACTGGCCAGGAACTGAAAAAAAAAAAATAAAAAAATAACAAAATAGAAAATCAAACTCATCATCATCATTCATTCATTGTTGATAAATAATACTTACGGGTTTGAAGAGTGCGGAAGGTAACGTAGCTGAAGTTGCTCCACATATCCTCGCCAACGGCGTACGCGCTCTTCAAAGCGACTCTCACATCGTAGATGGTGTTGGCGTAGGTGAGGCCCGACAAGTTGTAGGACCCCTCCTTCACAACCACCTTGTCCGTAATGTTGATTGTCTGGAAAAGCGGAAAGAAAAAGAAAATAAAAAAAAATCAATCAAGAGTCACGTGAAAATAGCTCCGGGAAAATAGTAACCATCACCATCGAATGTAATCAAGCGATCGTCCAATCGCTTCCATCAGCGAAATTAATTACGCGAAATAAAGCAATTCACGTCCAACGATTCGCGGTAGCAATAACACAGGCTGTTGTTGAAAAAGGAGACGACGACTCTCTACGGAGAGCCGCGAAAATCGAGTTTACCCATTGACGACCCAATTTCTGCACAACCGAGCAACGCGCGTGATCATCAATTTTCCTTATCGGGTCGATGGCATTGCTGTCTTTTTCTGCGACGACGACTACGACAACGACGTCAAGTTCCCGGGAAAGATGTCCGGCTCCGCGAACAAAAATCCACGCAGCAAAGAGACACGACGGATAGATAGATAGATAGATAGATAGATAGATAAAGAAAAGTCTGTAGCGGCAGTTGCCCGAGAATGGCTTACGGGGAAAAGGAGGCGAGCGAGCGCCTACGTGTATATATACATACATTGATGGCACTCGAGCCGGGTTTCGAAAGAATTCCCTCGAACGATCCTATATATACATATATACATAACAGCAGCAGTAGTGGCTTGACGAGATAATTCGCGACGACGATTTTTATGCTTCCGCTAATAAGCTCACGTGAGTATGCAAAAGCGTTTTGTTCGATTACACTCCTGTCATTAAAATCGTCCCTTCCCCCTCCCATTTCTTTTTTTATTCTTATTCCAGCTGCAGTGGTAATAATCGTAAACGCTTCCAGAGTCAAGTTACCTTCCACTTGTCCCGGCTGTCCCAGTGGCTCTGGTAAGACACTCGGAGATGCATACCCGGAGGGAAGTCCTCCATCGGAAAGGCGATTTTCCATTGCAGAATGGCGCTGTTGTACGTCTTGTCAGCAACTGTCAGGTTGATCGGTTTTGCCGGTATTACTGAAAAAACAAAACGAAAAATCCACGACGGCACTTAAATAACAATAAAATTACCAATTTGTTGTGAATGAAAACTCGAGAAAGATACACGCACATGTTGATAAAGTATACAGCAGGTCTACTTGGAAATGAAATTAAAAACAAAAAAAATGTTGTTTCTCCTATACGAAACATCATAATTCCATACTGGCGGATAAAATAATAATACTTTTGCAAACACAAAATACGATCATATCACTACATGTTATTAGGGGGGGGGGGAAATAATAATCTGTGTCGTACCATGGGCGTAGTGCTGAAACAGATACGATCCGGTCCAATTGCCGAGCACGTTGCCGCCGTGCATCAAAAGCGTGTAGTTCTCGTGGGCCTGTCTGTACAAGGGATTCGTGTCGAAGGCCCAGAAACAACTGTCCCGGGGTCTCTCCTTGCCCGGCGGGAGCGCCCTGTCCGTCGGGCACTGGTGGAGCATGCGGCTACCGGCTCGGCCCATCAACCGATAAGCTATCGCGTACGACGTGTCGATGTAGTTCTGCGGCAGCTCCCACGTGCACGTCAGGTTCTCCCAATTCTGCGACAGGCACCTCACGTTTTTCGGCGCCTCGGGCTTGACTGGAAAAACAAAAAAAAAAAAAACAACCATCTTTATAGCTCTAATTTTTCTTCTTTTTTTTTTTTTTTTTATCCGAAACTCTTTCGTCTCGCGGAGCGGCGATCGATATTCCTGCATACGTATGTAACGTGCAAAATGCAAACGGGTCGTCGACAGCAACAGTAGCCGACGACCCCGTTGGCCGTACAACGATCGATGAACGCGATGTGTACACACATATATATGTATTGTACACGTAAATGGTTAACGCCAATCGACACCCGAACGTTGTACTCTGTTCTTTTCGCGTTAAATCTTTGAGAGAAAAAAAAAAAAAAAAAGAATCGATGCACGCGTTTTCTTTTTTACCGAGAAAAAAAAGGTATGTAAAGAAAGGGACCGCGTAATTGTTGTCTTTCTCTCTCACTCTTTCTTTGCACTGCAGGAAAAAAAAAAAAAAAAAAAAAAAGAGATCGACGCACGTATAAACAGTGTATACACGCGCGCGCCGTGTGATAATACGCTCTCGATATGTATTTAAAATACGCGTGTCGCGTCGTAAACGGCGTGTGTGTGTTTATCATCCGCGAGCGGTGCACTTTTCCAAGTACACATACACACACGATTTAATATACACAAGGTATTGTATATATATATTATATACCCATGCGCGGAAGAACACTTTCCAAGAAGAGCTCGATAAGAGATCTCATATATTATATATTATGTACATACGACTTATTATTGATATTAAGACCGGCGAGGGAGTGAAAATTATAATGCATACCATCTTCTGGTGTACAGACACTCCAACGGTGCGTTGTGTTGTTAAATGACTTTACGTCTTATCGTCTCAAAGTATACACACATATACATACGTACGCAAAACAATGTCCTTTAGAGCGAGTTATCGCTTAAACGCGTAATTAAAAAAATCGAGTGATCGAGAGAAAAAAAAAATAGACGTGGAAGACTCACAACCGACGACGACCTTGTTGAGACAAACGGCCTCGTAGTCCTTTTTGGAGGTCGTATCGAGCCTGAGTTTGCAGTAGTACATGGCGTTCTCGGGCGGTGGCTTGTTCACGTCCAGCTGTATCGTCGTCTCGTTGAGTATCGTTATGTACTCGGGATCCATCTGCCGCTGGCCCTTGAAGAACACCAGGTCTCGCGAACCCTTGCCCGGAAAGTAATGCTCGACGTACGTCATGTTCAGGATACAATAGAGCCGCAGGGAGTTGCCGTGCTCGAGTACTATGTCACCCGCTGGCCACGTTCCTGAAGGGCAAAACAACAAATTTTCATTCATCAGTATACAGTCATACCTACATGTAAAATAAATAAAAATAAAGCGAGGAATAAACGAGAGCATGGGGAGGGGGATCAATGGAAGATAGAAATGTTACATTATTATGTTTAACAAGTGTTTCCGTGTAAAAGAGAGAGACTAATTTTTACCCCCCTATCGTGTGTCCACCCACGTGTCAATAATGTACACACACGCGACGATGACGACATACTATATTTATATCCATCGCTTGCAAAAAAAAAAAAGAGAGAGAGAGAGAGAGAAATAAAAAAATACTTTCGCAGAAAAGTGTTACGCACTACTACTCCTCCCTCCCGCCCCCGACCATACATTGCACAATGAATCAATATCAGCAAATGTATATATGTGTACACTCTCGTGGCTTATTAAGGCTCGCGAGAGCTTCCGATGCAAATACATAATGTACAAGATCGATAATCCCGGCGCGTCGCGGGAGTGTATATTTGTACACACACAATAATATATATTGTATACATACCGGAGAGAAAAAAGTAAAAGGACACTCGGCGTGTATAATGCATTATTTAATACGCGTGTATCGCGGCGATAATCCGAACCAACTTTCGGACTTTTTCCGCGAAAACCAGACCCACTCCCACCCCACGTGTGTATATATATATATATATATATGCACGGAAGAAACGAATAAGCTGCCACTGCAAACATAATCGCCGAGGGAAAGAGTCGAGGTGCACCTTTTTTTTTTTTTTTTTTTTTTTTTTTCATGTATGCATGTAAGTATGTATAGATGTTGTGTGTATATTATATACTGTGGACATTTGGGTTGTTGGACTCGGTAAGTACACACGTACATGTACTTGTAAAAGGGAGAGAGAAAAAGAAGTCACGGCGTCTCGCGAATCCATACCCATCCGTGCATTTAATCATACCTCGTCTCCTGGAGTTACAATGACCCTTACTTCGGATGTACTTTTGTGTGTATTGTACTTACTTACCGTCTTCGTTATGTTACACGACGAATTCCAAAACGGCGGAGAGGAACACCGTACACACATATATATATATATATAGATGCGCGTGTGAGGCTCGCGCCCATGTTTTATTTATAAAACGCCCACGAGCGAGGGCAAGCGACGACTATATGTATACATATAAGCTTTATTTCGTCATTTTCTCTCGCACGCACGTACACATACTTTTACTCCACGTTATATTCTCGCAGTGTTCCCACCCCGTATAATATACGCTCTGTCGTGCACGTGCACTTTCTTCTCTCCCCGTCAGTCACCCTTTTTCGCGAAAAATCACCATTCGTACACGACTCTTTTTTTTTTTTTTTTTTTTCTCTCTCTCTCTGGAATGGACGAGGAATTTTTATCTTATCTCGAGGCGATCGATAGCAAAACTAAGGGACTATATTCAATGATTGATCTTTAATTTTATTAACTATAGGTGCGCGTGCTTTTGTTTTTTCTTTCCATCAAATTTCAATTTTAACTTTATTTCAATTGACGGTATTGAATTTCACTTTGACGAATGCAATATGCGATACTTCAAACGAAAAATTTTTCACTGCTATTCCCCCCTTACCTTGGGCAATGTTTCATTATTTCATTGGACTTTGATTTCAATTTCGCAGCAACACTTATAGGACAATGATACGTTTTTAATTGATTCATCGGAGCGATACGTATATTTCGTTTTAATTTACGATACTTTGGTAAAATACCTGGACAACCTGCTATTATTGAACCATCCAATTAAAACACAATGGCTTTCCTCCTTTTTTTTTTAATTCAGTTATACAATATAGATTTTACGGTTAAAAAAAATATCCGCGTCCAGTGCAGTTTTTTTTTTTTTTTTAATTCAGATGTTAGTTTTATGCGTGTGTGTCTGATGCACGTTCGTTTCGGAGAAGAGAAAAAAAGGGGTGGATCGAGGGCACGATACATTATATATATATTTTGAAGGGACCGGTTGTGTTGGGCATACACGCCTATATTACCAATGTAGCGTAAACATATGCTGCTATACGCTGACGGGACGGTTATAATTGGGGGAACTGTTTTTTTCCAACTTTGACTGGCTGATGGAGGGGATTTTGGGACCGTTGGACCTCCGAGGTGTATTGGTTGCCAAAGTTTTGCGTTTGGCTTTGGCCAAAATGGCCCTATCCTTGAATGGTATGAAAACCTTCTTGGTGTAACCGATTTTCCCCTACTGTACGTCGCGGTGGCAGATACAAGGTCGACCTTCACTTTGAGGATCGAGTTTCTGTTAGAAAAAGAGTATCCACGGCAGTGCGAAATTTTCTCCCTGGTACGTATACATATAGGATTTCAATTGCGGCTAGCCATCATCAGCGCCGTGATCACCGCCCTTTTTGTTTCCATCAAAGGAAGGTGACAGCCGAACGAGGGGGCTATCGCTTTCTCGGCGTAAAAAGCGTATACGCATGTGAAGAGGGACCACCCTCTTCCTCATATTCGCTTTCGCTTTCTTTTTTTTTTTTTTTTTTGTCTTTTCGCTCTTTGTCTCCGTCCCCCCCGTCTCGCCTCGAGACTAATAGAGCTAGTTATAATTGGGCAGTGGTGTCGAGAAAGAGGAGACTGCACATTGCATATTATGTACGCTAAATCGGCGGAAGATACGATATTTACGGAAGCAAAATGCCACACACGTACGAGCACCAAGTCTAAGAAAGGGAATGTAGAGTACGCGTGTTTAATACATGCGATTATGCAGGAGAAACGGCAATTAGCGGGGAAATGCGGCGGACAATGGTAAACGATTATACACTGCTGTAAAAACTATAGGGGGAGAGAACTGGTTGACCGGTTGGCCGGCCGTAGCTGGCTGTACCTACTTATACCGAGCTACGCTATACATATATTACAAAGTGTGGGTATACATATATATGTATGTAATGTCGTTACGGTGCGTGGACTGGCTGACTAAATACGTAGATGCGGCTGCGAAATTAATGCTGCCTTGGACTGATTCTGCGTTTATGGCTTTTGCCGTCTTTGTATACTTGTGGAGGATGGAATTGAGGTATTACGAGGTGTGTTAAGTGTATTGTACTCAAAGTGCGAGTCGAGGTGCGAGTGTAGCACGATTGTTTTATATGTATACATTTAGACTGACATTTTATCGGTTTTCAATACTATTATGCTATATAGGTACATCATGTACCATTAGTAATTGTAAAAAAACTGTTCTAAAATAAGATTAGAATCAAATGTAAACTATTTGAAAAGATGTTCCGCGTGTTGCATGAACCTCGTTGTTTTCAATGGATGCATATTTACGTCCTACTTTTGATGGATTTTTCTTGTACGTACATGTATCTTGACGAAAGATACAGTTGCAAATTTTATTACATGCACGTCCATCAATGCATTTTCATAGTACCACCGTTTAAGACAGAGATGTGCTGTAAGTACACGGATTTTGGAACTTTATTTATATCAAAAAAGTTATCCAAATGAGCCATAAATACACAAGTAGAAAAATACTGTTTCATGTGGTTATTGAATACAAAGTTTCGGTCATGATTTCTTTAACTCGGGAAATACTTGATAACTTTAAAAATAAGCATATATAAAAATATTTATAGAGCAATAGGACTTTCTGTACCGAGACTGTCACGGAGAAAAAAAGCTACACGACTAAACAAGCATTGAAACGGATTTCTTAGCGGTTAAAGTTGAAAAAAAGCGATCGGAAGAACATGACATTTTTCTCGTGCTGAAAAACTTTAGGACCTTTAAAACTTGTAAATAGAATTCCAACGGCAACGTCACGTACGAGACCACGGAGAGTCCAAGATTATACGAAACGCAAAATGATCGATCGATGGGTCGTACGTGCACCGAATGCGAATAGTTTGCGTCAGTCGAATCGATACGTACGCACGCGTCGAAACGTGCGACTTGCCGGAAGAAAATTTTGCCGCAACGAGCTTTACCCAACCCTGCGGTGGGACTCGAAATTGCATAGTTTATGCAGGTACTAACTTTCAAACTCCCAATGGCTGGATTCGGCGAGGGCGATTTACGAGTTTAGGCTTATTTTAGTCCTGAAGGAAAATAAGTTCACTTTGCCCGATGAAAGCTTTAATGCTGCTCGTGTTAATGGGTGCGAGTAAAATTTTAAATGGGTCGCTGTAGTACCTTGGCTTTTATAGTACTTTTTTTTTTTTTTTTTTTTCCTTACCACCGCGT